AGGAGGGGGTTTGGGAACCCCCAAATTATAACTGGTTGCTAGGAAGTATAAATGGTCTGGGCTTGTGACTGGGATTTGAGATTAAGTCCTTAACCTGTGGGATTTAATGCTATCACCACTGAGGTAGTTCACAACTGAGTTAAATTTGTCGCACACCCAGTGAATGTCCACTGGGAATTGGAGAACTGCCTGGTGTGGAAAGGAAACCCCACACATCTGGTGTCAGAAGTATTGAGAGCAGAGAAGAAAAATAATTTGCCCTTACAATCCTCCTTTTACAAAATCCAATTCATGAACACCCACATTTATCCCCAAAACAATGTATCAGTTTGCCAAAAGACATTTTACCTTTAAGGACCTCCATGTGGCATGTTTCCTCAGCACATTTTAAAGGATTCTTTTTATTAAAATTTCACTTACCCCTCCTTTTTCAGAAACTCATCTGGTTAAGCCACGTGCAGTACTCCCCGAGGACCAAATATCTCCTCTCTCCAGTTTCACAGCAAAGCTTAAACATGTGACCTACTCAGGGACATGGGTAGCAGCAATCCCATGTCCTAAGTGCTAAATCAGGGCTCTTACCCATATCCATCATTTCTGTATTCCCACTTTTAAAACATCATCATTCTTGTGAATTCTTTCCATGTGGAGCTCACCTTTACCCAGAAAATGTTAATTCAACGGAACCCTGCAGGATACAGCCCTCGTGAAACCCAGAAACAGAAGCACGTTGGGCAGCTGCTTTATAATCTGAGGAACACTCAAGTCCACCAAGCAGTCAGCTGGGGGAATAGGCCTTGCCAACTGGAGCTGGCTGCCGTCTGCCTCTTGCTCTGTTCCTGACTGGATATCTAACTTCACCAGCTATCTTACTTAACCATGTCTTGCCTTTTCTACCTTTAGTAAAACAGCAACAGAAGAATATTTATTTCCTCCTCACTGATGGAAAGACTCTAATGAGGCAATATAATTGTTCATGTTCCTCAAAAGTGAAGTAAAGATTACACATTGTGGCTGCATAATTAATAAAAACTATTACAGGATCTTCTTTCTTTGGGATTCAAATTCTTCTCATTGTTTACAATTCCTCATTCAGAGGAGACAAATAATCTATTTAAGAGATTAACAAATCTAGCTGAAATCACAATTTGATCTGTGTCTCATCCCCTTCTGAATCTTCTTGCCATTTTCTTGGTACCTCGTGCTGCTATTCCCAGTCATTACAGATATGAAGAAAAGAAAAAGCTTAACAACTAAATTCAGTTCTTGCTGTTGTTTAGTCACTAAGTGTGTCCGATTCTTCTGGGACCCCACGAACTGTAGCCCACCAAGCTTCTCTGTCCATGGCATTTCCCAGGCAAGAACATTAGAGTGGGTTGCCAGTTCCTTCTCCAGATCTTCCTTACCCAGGGATTGAACCCACATCTCCTGCATTGGCAGGTGGACTGTTTACCACTGTGCCACCTGGAAAGCCCAATTAAGTCTGGAAGAGCAGAGTTTTCCAACATCAGCACCGATATTTTGCACAGAATAGTTCTTTGTGTGGGGAGCTGTCCAGTGCACTGTAGGATGTTTAGGAGCATCCCTGGGCTCCACCCACCAAGTGCCAGGAGCAGCCTCTCAGTTTCGACAACCAAAAATGTCTCCAAACACTGCCAAATATCCCTGGGGAGCAAAACTACTCCTGCCTAAGAACCACTGCATTATACATATAACACACAAATATTTGGAAGCCATCACCTAAAAGGAAACCTTTAGACTGAAAAGAAAACAGAGAAGGTACAATTAAATATTTGAAAAATTCCCGTATAGAAGCAGGAACAGATTTTGAATGCCAGACAACGGAACTATACCATTGAACAGAAGTTACAAAAAATAAAACCAGCTCGTGTTTACTCTTCCTACACACCAGGCTCTGTTGAGTGCACTTTCAAGCACTATTTCATTTAATTCTCACATGACCCTCTGAAGTTGTAGTAATGGCCTCACTTTACAGATGAAAAAAACTGAGGCTCAGGAGCTCCAATAGCTAACAGCAAAAGCAGAACGCTATTTCAGAGATCTAACTGAGCCCAAGCTCTCAACTCCCAATCTACCATGACAAATGAAGAATTTATTCATCACATGTGCTCAGTCATGTCCGACTCTTTGCAACCCCATGTATTGTAGTCCGCCATGCTTCTCTGTTTGTGTAATTTTCCAGGCAAGAATACTAGAGTGGGTTGTCACTTCCTACTCCAGGGGATCATCCCAACCCGGGGAGAGAACCCACATCTCTCCCGTCTCTTACATTGGCAGGCTGATTCTTTACCACTGTGCCACCTCGGAGGGTATACACCTCCACAAAATAAAGAAAATGAAGAACTTTTTGACTTAAAAGCTGTTTCTTTCACCAATGATTCCCGAAGCCACCATCTCAGTCCTATCCGGTCAGATCAGAAGATCCAGAGAGTCCTCCATCATAACCTCCAGGCAAGTCGCTGCTCTAACTCTGCGGAGCCCCATTATAACTTGCTACCTCGAGTTACTCAGGATACTTACTCTCTCAGCTGTTCCTCAGAAAGCTCGTTGAGAGTGGAGCAACGAGCTTCCCATGCTTACACCTCCACAAAGCTGTGCTCAACCTGGGGCTCAATGAACCTTTTATGAATGACTATTCCAGAGATGCCACCTCCACCCTCCAAAGCTCACACCAGAGGAGATATTTAAGTAAGCACCTTCAGGAGATACAGTTCTTGCACTTGAGCTGAAAATTTTATTGGAGATACTGAGTTTTTTCTAACTCTCAGAATCTAAGTCAGGAAGAGCCAGAAAGGGACAGATGACAGATAAGACATTCGTCGGCTTTATCTCCACTGAAGTGACTACAGATTCATTTGACTATGATCACATCATGTGTCAGGGGCTACATGTATTTATACGTGTGTATGTAAATACACTTACATATGTATGTATGACATATATATATGTCTATGAATGAATGTATATACGTATATCTTAGTTCTCTCCTCAGAAATTAATACATGTCTACAGAATTTCTGAGGCCTTGAATCCAGCCAAGAAGGTCTAAATTAAGGGTCTCTTTTTACTCCCTAGTGTATTAATAAGGTACGGCAAATAAGGCTATACAGAGTGCTCCTCACATAATACCAGCACTTCTGCTAACCAGTACTCCCGTCCCCAGGTACCAGAGTCTGATATCTTTTCAGGAAAATGCCAAGTGCCCAAGCTCCATTCATGTGTGTGGCAGTGAAGAAATACAAACAGTGCAGGAGGGAGAAAGGGAAACATCACTAAATTACATCTCATGGGCACGGTATTTCCATTAGAAATCCCAGGTCTACAGGCTAAAGTATGAATGTATGCTCAGTCACTCAGTCTTGTCTGACTCTTTGTGACCCTATGGACTGTAGCCCTCCTGGCTCCTCTGTCCGTGGGATTCTCCAGGCAAGAATACTGGAGTCGGTTGCCATTTTCTCCTCCAGGGGCTCTTCCCCACCCAAGGACTGAACCCATGTCTCCTGAATCGGCAGGCAGATTCTTTACCACTGGGCCACTTGGGAAGCTAAAGTACTTCTATTTAAAAATGCTATCCCCAGTGTTCCTAGAACCCTGTCTTCATACCACATCCAGGTAGCTATGAGTTCTCTAGGCTAATACAAGGGGCTAATGGGAGAGTTGATAGGGAATGCCAGAGTAGAGCAATCAAGCAATTGCTTCGCCCAAGGGTCAGACTCAAAATGAAGGTAAGAAATGTTGAGAGGAAGAGCACCTGGCAAAAACCATGCTAGCGGTCCCTCAACTTCTTCAGGACAGTGAGGGCACTAATAATCATGTACCGACAGAAGCCTTTCTCACTGTCACCAGGTTCCTCTCCATGGTACAGGGGTTCATCTGGTTCTTCCCTTAGGAACCTTCTATCTCCATCAATGACATGGCATTTCCCCTTACGTGCAACCAATCACCCTTCAAGAGAGGCAGAAACATCCAGAAAATGCATTCAGACAGATGATGAAACGGGCTGGCCACTGACGATAGGAGCCAGTGCAAAATTAAACACACCAACAGGGCCCAGAAAGCTCCCAGGACCAACCACAAACCCTCTTCTCCTTCAATATGCAGAGAGGTTTTTTTCTTGAAGTGATTTTCCCAATTCGGAATAACCAGACAGAAGCTTTTAAATATAATGAGGCTTATTCCAGGGGACCAGTTGAAATTCGGACACAGTTAACCTGATATGGGTTTAAATGGGGACTTATTTTTCACCTATTCACCCTTGTAGGGCAGAAAGAGAGCTCTGAAGCCTATAGTTTAGCCCTTGTCACGAACCCTTTACTTAAAGTCAAGGCAATTAGGCCCATGACTGTTACAAATTTATCTCAAAGCTTCTGTCCTGCACAAACCAATCACAGTCATGGCTGAAAACAAATACAGAATTTTTAAAAATTCTTTAATCCACACGCAAGGAGATGTGTGAGGACAGCCGAGAAATCATGGCGACAGGGATAGCCGGTGGCGACCAAGGGGACATCTGCTTCTGAGACCTGTTTTGGGACAGGGGACAAAACCAACCAGTGGTACTTCGCTCTCTCCACATCTCTCTCCGTCTTTACATCTGCCCATTCACCACATTTCGGTCCAACAAACTGTTTCTCTCTTTTGAGAGGCTTATAGCGAGAGCAAGAGGGACTCAAGACAAACGAGGGGGCGATGCCTGGGATATGTTGCAACACGTAAAGCTGGAAAACGTGTAGCTGTTTACTTCCAGCGGCTGGGAGACGCCGAGCGCCGCGCGCACCAGAGCTCAGTCCTCGGGGCGCGACCCCGCCTCCCCACAACCTCAGGCGCGTTCTGGTGGGGGGGGGGGGGCGACGCGCTGCGAGCCCTCCCTCACGCGCCCACGGAACCCGGAGGCTCCCTGCGTGCCGGCCCCCAGGGAAAGAGCGCGGTCTCCCCTAGGGCCCTGCGCCCACCCTGCGAGCTGCGCGCCCCGGAGTTACCTCGGAGGCCGGGGTTGTCGTCTCTGGCCCGAATCTTTCGGATTTTGACAGGGCGCCCGCTCAGAGTGGACAGGACCAGACGCTGGCGCAAGAAGTTGCAGCCTGAGTAGCTGAGGGAGTGCGCCTGGGTCGCCATGTGCACGCCCTCCGCAAAGACGCGGGTAGCAGGGACGAATCGACTTCGGATGGGTGAGGGGGTTGCGGTACTGGCAGTAGCAGCGACAGCGGCAGGGGCGGCCTGGGTTCCCTCCCGCAGCCCCCGGCGCGTCCACGTGGTTTGGAACAGGAAGAGAGAGAGACGAGACACCGGGTCAGAGGGGAGTGAGGCGGGGCCGGTGACCGCCTCTCCACCTACCCGCCCGGCTGGAGGCGGTCCCCAGCACCGGGCCACGCCTCTATTGGCCGGCGGAGAATCAGGGCGGTGCCCGTGCCGCGCCGCTATAGGCCTTCACTGCGGCTGGGCGGTGCCCAGGCCGCGCTACCATTGGCCTGCACTGGAGTTGGGCGGTGCCCGGGCCCCGGCAACAGCTCTCAGCTGGAGGAGCTTTGGGGCGGGCGATGGATTGCCGAGAGGCCTGGGAGCGGACGCTTTGGAGCACACCCTCCCTGCCAGTTTCTTCGGCATCTTTCCCCCTTAGGGGTAAGGGGAGTGGACAGCATGCCCGGTACTTAGGCTCACCACTAACGGCAATCTCTGGGATGTGGATGGTATAATCTCCCTCCGCTTTTTCTTAATAGAAAAGAAAACAGGATTGGCGCGCTTTACCCTGTTGCAGACACAGTGCTGAGCACGCAGCCAGTTTTATCCCCTCGCTCCGCTCTGTGACCCTGCGAGGTAGTGTCATTCCTTCCCTACACTTGAGGAAGACACCAGCAACACTGCTAGGCTGGAACCGAAGTCTTCAGATACCAGGCCATTGTTTACTAGACACGAAGCTTTGCCACTTTCACCTCAGTGGCTTGCTTTACTGTCACCGTGCTTCATGCCAAGTCGGGTCCTCCGCCTCTCATGCCTCAAAATGGGTAGCTGTAATACCTTAGACACACACACAGCTTTTCCCTCTTTCCTGTCATCTTCTAATCGTGCACACCAAAATCTTTGCAAAGATTGGATTATGTCACTCCTCTGTTCAAAAATCTTCGAAGATAACACAGTTAAGTATAAAATGACTGCAGACTTGGGAGTTCAATTCCATAATACAGTTGGTTTGCAGCTATTCTTGGGAAATATTACCAGATCATGTGGAAGGGGTCAGAGTTTGAGTAAGATTAAAGAAGGTGGCTAGTCTTATGTGGGTTAATAGTTATGAGGAACTGCCGGAAGGTCTGAACTCCTATAGGCTACTAGAAGTGTTAAGTTCAGTCCCTCAGTCGAGTACCACTCTTTGTGACTCCATGGACTACAGCACGATAGGCTTCCCTGTCCATCACCAAACTCCTGAGCTTGCTCAAACTCATGTCCATCGCATCAGTGATGCCATCCAACCATCTCATCCTCTGTCATCCCCTTCTCCTCCTGCCCTCAATCTTTCCCAGCATCAGAGTCTTTTCCAGTGAGTCAGTTCTTCGCATTAGGTGGCCAAAGTATTGGAGTTTTAGCTTCAGCATCAGTCCTTCCAATGAATATTCAGAACTGATTTCCTCTAGGATTGACTGGTTTGATCTCCTTATTGTCCAAGAGATTTTTCAGAGTCTTTTCCAACACCACAGTTCAAAAACATCAATTCTTCAGTGCTCAACTTTTGTTATAGTCCACTCTCACATCCATACATGACTACTGGAAAAACCATAGCTTTGACTAGATGGGCCTTTGTCAGCAATGTCTCTGTTTTTTAATATGGTGTTTAGACTTCTCATAGCTTTTCTTCCAAGGAGCAAGTGTCTTTTAATTTCATGGCTACAATCACCATCTGCAGTGATTTTTGGAGCCCAAGAAAATAAGCTCTCTCACTGTTTCCATTGTTTCCCTATATATTGCCATGAAGTAATGGGACTGGATGCCATGATCTTAGTTTTCTGAATGTTGAGTTTTAAGCCAGCTTTTTCACTCTCCTCTTTCACTTGCATCAAGAGGATCTTCAGTTCCTCTTCACTTTCTGCCATAAGGGTGGTGTCAACTGCATATCTGAGGTTATTGATATTTCTCTCTGCAACCTTGATTCCAACTTGTGCTTCATCCAGCCCAGCACTTCGCATGATGTACTCTGCATATAACTTAAATAAGCAGGGTGACAATATACGACCTTGACGTACCACTTTCCCTGTCTGTTGGTCCATGTCCAGTTTTAACTGTTGCTTCTTGACAGCATACAGATTTCTCAGGAGGCAGGTAAGTGGTCTGGTATTCCCATCTCTTGAAGAATTTTCCACAGTTTACTGTGATCTACTTCCCTGACAGGGCAATTGGTAAAGAATCTGCCTGTAATGCAGGAGACCCTGGTTTGATTCCTGGTTTGGGAAGATCTGCTGGAGAAGGGATACGCTACCCACTCCAGTATCCTTGGGCTTCATTGTGGCTCAGCTGGTAAAGAATCTGCCTGCAATGCGGGAGACCTGGGTTCATTCCCTGTGTTGGGAAGATCCCCTGGAGAAGGGAAAGGCTACCCACTCCAATATTCTGGCCTGGAGAATTTCATGGACTGTATAGTCCTTGGGATCACAAAGAGTCGGACTCAACTGAGTGACTTTCACTTTTCACTTGGCAATAAGGAGTTCATGATCTGAGCCACAGTCAGCTCCCAGTCTTGTTTTTGCTGACTGTATACAGCTTCTCCATCTTTGGCTACAAGAATATAATCAATCTGATTTTGGTATTGACCATCTGGTGATGTACATGTGTAGAGTCATCTCTTGTTGGAAGAAGGTGTTTGCTATGACCAGTGCATTCTCTTGGCAAAACTCTGTTAGCCTTTGCCCTGCTTCATTTTGTACTCCAAGGCCAAATTTGCCTGTTATTCCAGGTATTTCTTGACTTCCTACTTTTACATTCCAGTCCCCTATGATGAAAAGGATATCTTTTTTTTTTTTTTTTTTTTTGGTGCTAGTTCTAGAAGGTCTTGTAGGTCTTCGAAGAACCATTCAACTTCAGCTTCTTCAGCATTACTGGTTGGGGCATAGACTTGGATTACTGTGATATTGAATGGTTTGCCTTGGAAACAAAGATCATGCTGTCATTTTTGAGACTGCATTTAAGACTCTTCTGTTGATTATGAGGGCTACTCTATTTCTTCTAAGGGATTTTTGCCCACAGTAGTAGATATAATGGTCATCTGCAGAGTCTATGAAGACCTACAAGACCTTCTAGAACTAACACCATAAAAGACATTCTTTTCATCATAGGGGATTAGAATGTAAAAGTAGAAAGCTAAGAGATATCTGGAGTAACAGGCAAGTTTACCCTTGGAGTACAAAATGAAGTAGGGCAAAGGCTAACAGAGTCTTGTCAAGAGAACATACTGGTCAGAGGAAACACCCTCTTCGAACAACACAAGAGACTATTTTACATATGGACATCACCAGAGGGTCAACACTGAAATCAGATTGATTATATTCTTTGTAGCTGAAGATGGAGAAACTATATATAGTCAGCAAAAACAAGATCAAGAGCTGACTGTGGCTCAGATCATGAATTCCTTGTTGCAAAATTCAGACTTAAAGTGAAGAAAGTAGGGAAAACCACTAGCACATTCATGTATGACCTAAACCAAATCCCTTATGATTATACAGTGGAGGTGACAAACAACGTCAAGGGGTTAGAACTGGTAGACAGAGTGCCTGAAGAACTATGGACAGAGGTTCATAACACTGTATAGGAGGCAGTGACCAAACCATCCCAGAGAAAAAGAAATGGAAGATGGCAAAGTGGTTGTCTGACAGCAAAGGCTTTACAAATAGCCAGGAAAAGAAGAGAACTGAAAGGCAATGGAAAAAGGGAAAGATATACCCAACCAAATATAAAGTTCCAGAGCATAGCACACAGAAAGCCTTTTACATGAACAATGCAAAGAAACAGAGGAAAACAGTAGAACGAGAAAGAATAGAGATCTCTTCAAGAAAATTGGAGATACCAAGGGAATATTTCATGAAATGAGGGCACGATAAAGCACAGAAACCACAAGGACCTAACTGAAGGAGAAGAGATTAAGAAGCAGTAGCAAGAATATACAGAACTGTATAAAAAAGGTCTTAATGACCCAGATAATCATGATGGTGTGGCCACTCACCTAGAGCCAGACATCCTAGAGTGTGAAGTTAAGTGGGTCTTAGGAAGCATTAATGTGAACAAAGCTAGTGGAAGTGATGGAATTCCAGCTGAGCTATTACAAATCCTAAAAGATGATGCTATTAAAGTACTACACACAATATGACAGCAAATTTGGAAAACTCAGCAGTGGCCACAGGACTGGAAAAAGTCAGTTTTTATTTCAATCCCAAAGAAGGGCAATGCCAAAGAATGTTCAAACTACCACACAATTTGCACTCATTTCACATGCTAGCAAGGTAATGCTCAAAATCCTTCAAGCTAGGCTTCAGCAGTATGTGAACTGAGAACTTCCAGATATACAAGCTGGATTTAGAAAAGCAGAGGAACCAGTGATCAAATTGCCAACATTCATTCAGTCATGGAGAAAGCAAGGGAATTCCAGAAAAACATCTACTCTGCTTTATTGACTATGCTAAAGCCTTTGTGTGGATCACAACAAACTGTGGAAAATTCTTCAAGAGATGGGAATACCAGACCATCTTACCTATCTTCAGAGAAATCTGTATGCAGGTCAAGAAGCAGCAATTAGAACCAGACATGAAACAATGAACTGTTTCAAAATTGAGAAAGGAATAAATCAAGACTGTTAATTATCACCCTGCTTATTTGCCTTCTGTGCATATTACTTTATGTTTCTGTGCAAAATGCCAGGCTGGATGAATCACAAGCTGGAATCAAGACTGCCAGGAGAAATACCAACAACCTAATATATGCAGATGATACCATTGTAATAGCAGAAAGCAAAGAGGAAATTAAAAGTTTCTTGAGGAGGGTGAAAGAGGACAGTGAAAAAGCTGACTTAAAACTCAACATTCAAAAAAGAAAATTATGGGATCCAGTCTCATCACTTCATGGCAAACAGAAGGGGAAAA